AAGGATTCTACTTTCAAACGTTTGTTTCCTTCCACGATTGCTCTCACCAAAGAATTTGTATAACCTTCAATCAAGGGGACCGTGTATGTACCAAACTCTTTCAACCTGGTTTTCACTTCGTGAAGGGTCATCGACACAGCCAATATGGTATTGCCTGAATCCGTACCACGTGTTTTTGCAACCTCCTGATCATGGACCAGTTTCGTACATTTCTCTGCATATCTGATGCGATGCTGTACAACTTGCTTCTCCTCAGTACTAGTGTAATATTGTAAGAGCTTTATGTACAACGAGCAGGCCTTGTGGAAGTTCTCTGCTTTATGCTTGTTCCTCTTTGCTTTGTGCAGGTACAAGTCTCCGAGACCTTTCAAGGCTTCACACTCCAAAACCTGATTTTGAGTACTTATAGCGTGAACCAACTTCCGTGCGTATCCCCTCTCTACAACATCCAGATCAGAACCGCTTTGAAAGATAAAATCTAGTTCGTGAAATTCACCCACCACTGTAGACAGCTCGGTGTGTGACATATTTGTTCCTCCTGACAGGGCTTTCTTTGGTTATATAATCAGAATCTGTTCTTTGATCTTCCCTAGGCCTCTTTACCAAGCACGATATAGAAGATTCTGTCCCAAAGTGTCCTCACATTGTCTTAGGTCTCCATAGTACCAATATTGCTTACGTTATGAACGCATCTTTGTCGAACGTAACGCACTCGGGCTCATTGACCTGAGAGAGAATAAGAATTGCACGAATCATAAAGGTGCTGAATGCATATATACAATAACGTTAGGACATGTTGACTTGATTATATGGATGGCATCCTTTGTAATATTTTGGCACCAGTTAAGGAAGAAGCAGAACGTGTACCCGATCGCGAAGCATTAAAAAATTCTCGAGAATGTTTCTTTAAGCAAAAGAAAGAGGAGACAAAGGGTACTCTTTAATATCATTTTCGAACGGGAGGGGGGGAGGGGGGCGGTATGCTAGCAAAACAGCAATACATTCTTGCTACGAAGACTTTTAAGCCCCGCTAGGTGCGAAGTACGTCTACAGTGTTCCGCATTGTCAACTGTATGTCATACCTTATACCTTATGGTAAAAATCTGTAGCCTGATCTACGTAAAAACTCACCTTTTATCTTCCACTGGTGTCTTAGGTTTCAGCTCGCGACAGCGAATGTGAAAAATGCGGAAGTCCCCTGAGTGACTCACCTTTACGAAAGGGGGATTCCCCTTGGAATGTTCCATTCATCGAGAGGCGTGACAAGGTTTCCCTGGCGCTTTACTTAAAATGAATAGTATGCGTACATATTTTGTTTGTACGGGTACATACGTTTGTTTCAGCTTTGTTTATTTGTTTTATTGCGAAGAAAGTCCCCAGGTGTACTCACATCCTTAATGCGTTGTGGGAGTTTTCATAATTCTGGAATATTCCATTCACCGAACGGTAGGACTGGGCATTTTAAACCTTTGTTAAGGTTTTTTGGGTGGACATGGGTGTTTGTGTCCCATAACAAGGTGTAAAACCTACGGAAATGATGCAAGCATAAAGTTATTTGTGTACTACGGATCACCCCTGTTTCTTAAGTGGACTTGTCTTGGGGCAGTTCAAAACAACGTTCGACGGTATTAGTTTTTTTTTACAATTAATTTGGATGATAAGTAGAATATACTGTGCTTCCAGAGTGGCAACTACCGGGAATTTCATACTTGTGCTACAGTATTTCAATCGGTTAACCCCAAATATTATCCAAATGTCGCATACCCCGTGGCACAGGGGCTTTAAAGTAAGTGAAGGTGAACATTCTGTCCTTGGGTGGAAAATATTCAAGCAAATGAGGATCTTATTTGCATACTTAATGAAAATTTTTTATAATTCGTCAGTTGTCAAGTATAACATCATTTGCCGGAGCTCCTAGGTATGTAGTCATATTAAAAGAAGTGCATCAATCATCATACAGGTAACTCATACAACACCAGTATTCTCCAACTCGCAAATGAAATATTACGCACTTCACGCCATTATACTTCAAGTTATCCTTTCAACCCCATCTTCTCCTAACTCTTAGAATGAATGAATGAATGACTGTTTATTATCGTGCCATTGCGATCAATATGCCGCCCAGCCCATATGGGCTTATAAGGCACCGACAAAATACAAAATCAAAACAAATCAAAAGGTACAGAGAATAAGATGTAACATAAATTATAACTTAACATAATATATAATAAATACAGGAAATTAAATAGTACTGGTCATATACAGAAATCAAATCAAATGTAACATAGATGATAAATAATAATAAATCAGGTTCAACCAAAATTGATAATGGATAAAAGTAACAAGAGGTAACTGTCACATGACTGTTTCATACAGAGAACTAACTTAACAGAAAAGTGAACAGTGAGAGGATCGCATGTCTTAGAAGTTCTTCCCTTAATGCAGGTTTTAATGTCGCGTGGTCAAATTTGTTGTTTATATGGGTGTGACACCAGATGTGTTTTGGCACAGCTGCCAACCGTACATCCTATATCCTCGGTGCACCTTCCGCAGTAGCAGCTAACATTCCAACAGTCTTGCTTTTGACAATAATCACATGGCTAATTAGTCTCCCACCCGGCTCCTTGGGCTGTAAAATAGAAATTGGCCAAATAGGTTGGATGATTTGGAACAAAAGTTAGACAGACACTTCTTGGGTACCTACATGTGGATTATAAAATTCTACATAGTGTATTTGAAAAATTCAACATTGTTAGGCGAAAGGCTAGCAGCCCTTCTCTGTATATAGCTCCAAATCTGAGCTACTGAAACAGCGAGGATTGTCCATGTGGCACTCTGTATAAAAGTGACCGCCTGAACAACAACTCGGCAACTTAATACGATCATTGGCTTTGAAACGTTGAGCCTAAAATGATCCGATGTGAGTTAGAGTAATTTGGGCTGGGAGAAAGAAAGGGGTTACATTATGAGTATTGTAAGAGGATCGCATATCATCGGGGAGGGAGGCATGTTCCCTAACCACTATCGGCAACATAGACTTAAACATTCTGCATGTAAACTAGCATGTAGCTAGAACTTGGCAAGTCAGTGGGTGCTGGAAGGGTCATCTCCAAGCACACATCCGTCTGTCTACAAGTTTTTGTTTCGCATAAGGCCACACCATTTAAATTTTATGGATGACGTCCTCGCGCGCATTGATTTTGGCCTGTTCCTAGAAAAAAAACCCCAAGAAATTCCGCTTCCTGTAACCATGCTGTAACTATGACCAAAGAGTCACAACAGTGCCGCAAATTGTCAGATTGACATGAAACCCGTAACGCGAAATGGGTAAAGAGCACATTTTCCGCAAAACAGGACAGGACAACAACTGCTGTTCCACCTGATTTATTGCTGTTTTGATGATGAATAAAAGACTTGCTTGTTACACTGTGTAACCTCATTCAATTTGTGTCCTAAGATTTGTCGTCTCTTAGTTTATTTCTAATTTGTTTGTTTGAGCCTTTATTTCAACTCGATCTGTAACTATGTTACATGCTCTAATCGGCCGCTATTTCGGCCGCTTTTCATAGAGGTCGAGCGTGGAGGAGTGTCAGGGGGTCATAACATAAATACTACTTGCTCACAAATGAAAACAAAGTAATAATTATATACATAAGGTAACTCACACAAAGTAAATAAATAAACAAAATGGCAATAACTAATAAATAACTCATAAATCTTTGTGTCCAAAGTCGTTCAGTCAAAGTCAGTTACGATACTAGCAGTCTTTTAAAGGTTCTAAGAGTAGGTGCTGCTCTAACATGCTGCGGAAGAGCGTTCCATACAAGAGAGCCAGAGTAGGCTAGGGATCTCCGGTATATTTCTCTTAATGGCATCGGTACCGCAAGGAGATCAGTCGCGCTTTGTCTGGTGCTTCTGGTCGCTCTATCCCTACAGTATGTGAAAATCCGGCGCATGTACGGCGGTAGTTGGTTGTTCAGGGCCTTATGTAGTAGGAGGGCTTTGTGATGTTTGTGGATTGACTTTACGTCCATCCAGCCCAGACGTCGGTGGACTTCGGCTGATGGAGTTAGATACGGGGCTCGTAGAATCAGCTTGCCAGCTCGGTTCTGCAACCTTTGCAATTTCCCCAACTCACGTTCGGGCGCTGTGTCCCAGACAGTGCAGGCATATATAATATGTGGCAAAAATATAGTTTTATACAAAGTTAACAGAGTAGATGTTGGAAGGAATGTGCGGACGTGCTTTAAAATGCTGAGTGATCGCCTGAGTTTGCCCAAGACGGCATTTATTTGACACTTCCAGTTGAGATTACGATCAATTAACACACCTAAGTATTTGTAAAAGGTACATTCCGTTACAGTTGCCCCATTGATATACACTTCAGGGCTTCTGCAACTGTTAACCCTTTTATCTGTTCCAATAAGCATGAGTTTGCATTTGCCACTGTTTACGGATAACGAATTAGCTGTGAACCACTGAGAAAGAGTATTTAGATCATTTTGGAGGTTGTACTCAATATCGCTAACATCCTTGCTGCTATAGTAGATGACAGTGTCGTCCGCATACATTGATATTTCACAAGATTCAGCGCAATTTGGCATGTCATTAACATAAATTAAAAACAACAACGGGCCCAATAATGAGCCATCTTGTTTTTATGGCCCTTCTTGGTTTTTTTTCGCCCTCTCACATTAGATTTATGGTCTCCAAAGGACGTCATCCATAAAATTTACTTGCTGTGGCCTAACCGGTAAACCGCCTTCAGGCATAGCACCGTCGGTGGTTGCCCCCTCTTGTATAAGAGTCGAGCCTCGCGTGAGCAGTCCTAATTATGGTGATCATACCTCAGACGTGGACCCTATAATTGACTTCGCACAATTGGCTAAACACACACGAGCAGGCATAGGTTGTCAGATAACACTTCAGCTACCTTGTAACAGTTTCTTGTTACGTTTATTTATTTAATTATAGGCGGTCAGGTCTTATTCAGTCTCACTAAAACTCCCACCATGACAACAGAGGGTTCTACGCCGTTCCCCTCTGGGGTAAAATGTGGATCTACTGCAAAATATTTGACTCTGTTGTGCGTGTTTGGGTGGATTGCTGCTGTGTATTTTAACGTCGGTGAGAGGCCTAGGACACCATGGAAACCTCCACCGCCACGAATGGAGTCCTTTCCAGTCAAGGTAAACAACTCTCTGAATGGAGGTCATCATAAAAATGCAACAGGTACGTGCTTGCAGTACTTAAAATATAGTGTGTGTGTTCTATTTCAAAACATGCCATGAAATGGAACATAAAGGAAAAGATTGTATGCCATGATGTTCAACATCCTGAAAAAATGCCAAGGCAGTCAATGGAATAGCATGTTCTTAGCGGTGGAGTTTTGTATGGTTTAAAGCCGTATGTTTGTGTTTGGGAGGGCACATCCTGTATCCGTATCTGTATCTGTATATCCGGTATAACCGCCCTTCGGCGTAACACACCAGCTTCGCAGGCACGCAGCGCGGCGGCAGCTGGCTACATTACACCGAGCAACCTGTTACACTCAATCTTGGCACATTTAATCGCAGGAATAGTTTAAAGGTTTCTAGTGATTATGCCCCAACTGTGCTTGGTGGCAATGAATGCCACTCTGCGATAGTTCTCGGATAATACGAGTTTTTGAACACCTCAATTCTTTTTTTTTTGACAACTCTGATATATGATATATGATATGTTCTTTTCTGGGCTGGTATCAGATACTTAGCGGTTGGTACGCATGGTACGTCCATCAGTTTATTATAGTCACAAAGGGAGTATGAACAATTAGTTATACACATGTACAGACCTGCCAATAATATGAACCCTTATGTAGTTCATTACAAAATGTATGTAATAGTAGTAAGAATATTTTCCCTCATATATTATTGATGCGATTTATTTACGACCTACGACCGGTTCAGAGCATATGAAACATGGAGTATTGAATATTGAAACGATACATTTTAATGCTAAGTGCTAATAGTCTATATATATTACAACAATACTATGTATTACTTCAATATAATTTCAGCTCATTTGGCCCCATTCAATCAAATGGCAGGGGAAAATGAGAAACATGAGGAAAAACAATGTATTTAAATTTCTTCCATTTACAACAATGACCTAATTAACTCATCAGCCAATCAGCTAGAACAACACATCTGCCATGCTTGTAGAAAGCTGCATGGCTATTAGCTGATGCACTGCATTCCTTTCTGCTTAGTCACACCCCACTGTCCAGTATGCCAAAAGTTATAATAAATGGTTTTTGGTAGACATATGAGGCACACCCATGCCAAATTGATCTGTAATACTAGGTCTCCAGGACCCCAAATGTCAGATTTTGTCGGGAAAATGTACAGATTTTGTAAAAAAAACGCCTGGGGGCTACCTTCATACCATATTTTAGATCCTTCGGCCCAAACATGAAGAAATTGAATCCATTTAAAGAAATGGCAGGAGAAGAAGAAGAAGAAACATGAGGAAAAGCAATACTTCAATCCATACCTATGGTATGGACTGAAATAATTATTTCACCAAGCTAGGGAGGAACATTTAATTCAATTCACATCAATTCTACATATATTATGTACCATGTATCACTATAATCAATTTGTCATTTTCTTTTATATTCAAACATGTAGTCACAAGATTGTAAAAAACGATCAATGTGATATGTTCTTACTTTATATTAAAAAACTCATGTTTTTTTTCAACTTATATTAATGCCACCACCAACACGGGACAACACAGGGGACAGCACAATACTCATGTGAGAAGTGAGGAAAGTCGTGTAATGTGCCTTTCCCAAGGGCACAAGATCGGTGACATGTCAGGACTCGAACCCGGGATCTCTTGGTTCCGAGTCGAGCGCTCTGCCCTTACGCCACACGACCCCACAGGAAATTTGTCATTTACTGCTAGGTAATTAATGCAAACACACCCATCAACACGACATTAGAGACCCAGACAACTTTTTTACACACGGCCTCTGTTTGACTGTACCGCCTGCACAGATACCAGTCGTCTGGCAAGCATTGCGCAGGAGAAGAGAATCGCCGTCTTGAAGGAATTCTGCAGGAAGAATCCCGATTCGTTTTCAAGGGTTAGTTTCCTTGATTTGATTTGATTTGATTTGATTTATTAGGCTGATAACACATATGTAAACAGCCAGGACTGCCCAACTAGCCGGAGGCTATTATAAAGGGCTAGCCCTCACAACAAGAACATAAACAATTCGGAACAGGTAACAGTGTCAGTTACAATTCAGATAAACATACTACTACATACTGTAACAGATGTTGCAGCCAAACGTTAACAAGCTAGGATATCCGGCCTAGTCGTCGTGCGTTTACTACAATTACATTTATATGTCAGGTTAATATACTATTACATAACAGATGTTGTGCACTATATTTACATTGTCGATACAATATTATTCTATTGAACTATTTACTATGTAGTTGTCGTCAAGTATTTATCAAGTATTGTCCATAGTTTGTTTTTAAAGGAGCTGATGGAGCGGGCTCTTCGAGTTTCGCTAGGGTTTCCTTCTTCTGGAATGTTTTGTTTGGGGATTTGTGTGTGTATGTGTGTGCACGTGCCACTTGTGGGTATGGATA